ATCTCAGTGGCAGAACTGAGTTATACAGAAGACTCTCGCCCAATCTCCACCCTGAGCTCCTATGTCTTAACTACAAGGGGAATCTGGAAAGTGCAGCTGGTCACTGGGGAGGGTGGGAGGAGAGGGCATTCCTCCCAGCAACACATAAGAAAAGCAGTCACTTCTGTGAAAGAGCACATTTTGCTGCTTCCTTTCAGTGAATCATTTTAACAGTAGAAAGGTCTTATAGTAGAAATTTACTTTTGTAATTTGTGATTAGGGAAAATTTTTACCCATTCTTTTATTTATTCTTTGAGTCCTATTATGTAGAGCACTGTGGTAGCTGTTGATGTATTAAGACGTAGTCCCTGTTTTCAAGGAGGGAAAGAGAAGGGAAGTTTACATTTTATGATCACCAACAGTGTTCATATTATCTTTCACGTGTGTTTCATGTAATATTTACTGTATTTCTATGACACATGTATTATTACTTCTAAGTTTTTAAAACTAAAAATATTCAGAGATTACCTGCTTAAGGTCACCCAGCTAATAACAGAAACTTATCTGGGAGGAATTCTCATCTGTTAATGTGACTTCAGAGTCCTGCGTTTCCACTGCAGCCTCTTCTCTATATTCACCATGTGCTGCTGGACAACTTTTATTTTTTTCTTTTTTGATGCTGTGTATTCAATCCAAAGCCTCGTGTACAGAAAGCTCTCTATTTGGGCAACCTTTCTTAGAGAGATGGCTGAATGTAGGTACTTATAGATTACACATCTTACTAAACCAAAATGTTTATACCTGTCTTTTCCTATGACCTGTTCTCCATATGGAGGCTAAGTGAGCCCCTGCTTAAAAACTCTGTAGTGATTTTCCATTGCATTTAGAATATAGTCCTAGCTTTTCATTGTGGTCTGTGTCCAACCATGCAGGAGCCAGATCATTCCAGCTCATGTTAAGATTTCAGGAATTTTGTGAAACAGTTGTTAAACACAGCTATTGTTAAAAAATCAGAGTGCTTTCCTAGCATGCATGAGTCACTGGGTTCGATTCTCATCACCACATATAGATAAGTAAATAAAGTAAATGTCCATCAACAATTAATAAAAATTTTAAAAATCAAGTGGTATAATGTTACAAACTCATATTAAAAACAAAAAGTGTTGAAACTCCAATTTCATTGCTTCCTAATTATTTTACAGTTCTTTACTGTTACCTATGTGGGTCTCAAGGGCACATAGGTAACAGTAAAGAGTTGTAAAATAGTGTCTGATGGCACACTGCTGCATTGCGGCTGTATGTCACCTCCAACTCCAGCCCAGGTGTTTTTGAGTATTCTGTGAGTTATGAACAATAGTCAAACAAGGCTAAAGCTACAGCAGGACCCATGTTGCACAACTTGTCATTGCAATTATTAGTATTCTATTTATTTGCATTGGCAAAGCCAATAATTTATTACTGTCAATAATTTTTTCAGTAACCACCAAGAAGTGAATATTATTTAATATTTCTAAAATGTTTTCATATTACACACATCTTAGGTTACATACTATCACAAATCGAGGCTCAGTGGTCAATCTCTGGTACTACCATACCACAGCACTGTGGTAAAACATGCATTCATATCTTCAAAAGGAAAATGCACACTATGTGAATTTCCTTTTTTCTTTGCAGCATAAATGTCAACCAGAATCTGATGTTGAGCCATATTTTGTACATTTTAAGATGCTTGTTTTCATTTTTAAATTATTTTGTACTTTTGCTCAATTTTGTATGCTTACCCTGATGCTGCTGCTGCTGCTAATGAATATATTAATCAGAGGAGAGATACCACAGGAAGCTGAAGTAGACATGCTAAACAGATCCCATTAATCTTTAAACTAGAAAGGAAAAGTTGCATTTCTACTTTCCAAAGGATTCTTCCCATTTCCCATTAATTTCTCATTTTGGTAGCAATTTTTTTATCTTCACAGTGGTTAATTTTAGTCCATTTTATGAGATAATATCTTTCTATAATTGCCTAGTATATTTGACTTTAGTCTTCAAAGAGTCTAAGGTGTTTCTACCTTAGCTGGACTGGTATTTTATAGTTTTAGTCTAGAATTTTCATGTGGCACTTTGTCCCAAAATTTAGAACTTGGCCATAATGCTGAGATTAGACATAAATTGTAGTAACTTCCAGGACTTTTATCTCTCCCACATATATGCAAGAAAATATGGGGTGTGTGTGTGTGTGTGTGTGTGTGTATGTGTGTGTGTGTATACATACATACATACATATGATTATTACTCAGTTTTAAAGAAGAATGAAATTATGGCATTTGCCTTGTCAGTAAATAGATGGAACTAGATACTTTCATGCTAAGCAAAATAAGCCAGTCCCAAAAAACTAAAGGCCAAACATTCTCTCTGATATGTGGATGCTAACACACAATAAGGAGAGGGGAGGGAAGATTAGAAGTTCATTGGATTAGACAAAGGGGAATGAAGGGGAAGGATGGGGGTTGGGAATAGGAAAGACAGTAGAGGAAATCAGACATAACTTTCCTGTGATCACATATGAATATACAACCAGTGTGACTCCTCATCATGGACAACCACAAGAAGGGGATCCTAATTAGGATAAGTTACACTCTATGTGTGTATAATATGTCAAAACACACTCTACTGTCATTATTGTCTGAAAAGAACAAATTTAAAATATGAAAAAATAGACAATGGGCTGGGATTGTCAATACTCACAGTTTTTCTTTTTTTAGGTATCAAGTCAAACTTTTAAATGGTTTTATTTTTGAAGGACATTCATTGAATGTTTTCCATTTGAGGAAAGGGGAGGTAGAAGAGAGAGGATATGAAGTTTAAGCTCCGTTTCTGAAAGCAGGCAGAATTTGTGTCCATTTGTCATCTCCCTGTGATTATTCTGAGTAATTTACCTGATGTGGCCCATACTAGCCATTCCTCTGCTGGTACTCTGACTGTGCTGATGTCTTCCACACACCCCTGCTCCTCTCCCGACCTGACCAGGCAGAGCAGCCTGCTCATTCATCTGGGAAGAGACCCAGTACCGTCCTCTCTGGGCTTCCAGAGCCTTGCACTGTGCTTGCAGACCATCTCTTCAGTGGCTCCATAGGAAAACAAAAGGGGAGTGAAACCTTTTATTTGTTTGATAGTTACCACATTGGAGGAAACAAACCATATCCCCTTTAGGTGATAAAGATAATCTGGTAATATTTACTTAATTGTCAAAGAGAGACTTAGAGTGAGTTTCTCTAGGGCTGGCTATCATTCTCTTACATGCAGCTTTTTATAGCCATTGAAATAGACATCTCAGAGGAAGATGTAGAAGCTTATTAGAATTTGGTGATAAGAGAATTATCATAGAGGTGCAAGTCGATGTCGCTTGAGACACAAATGACAGAATTGCTGAAGAAACAAAGAATACAATATACTTATATTCTAAATAAATAGAAGCTGAAAATGCTTCCCAACTTGAACAGCTAAGGTTAGAGACCAAAATTTTTGAAAAGGCCTCCAATAACTTGTAGACCAAAATAAATAAGCAAATATTTAGAGAATTGAAATGATAATATTGAAGTATATTTAATTGTAGAAAATTTTATTTCATTAAAGCACTTCATGATTTGTAAGTAGCAAGTAGAAGTAACTGTTTTGTATAGGAACTTAATAATAATTGCATTTCTAAGTAGATAAAGGAACTCTGTTTGTTCAGTTATTTAGGCATGAAGTTAATCCAATCTACCAGTGAAAGAGATACAAAATATCATAACCTGTCAATTCCATTTTTTCAGGGTGACATTTAAAGTAGATGTTTACATAATAGTTGATCCTAGGACATTGGGTAAATTAAACAGCTTTTCCTGTCTGCTTGGTATAATTTCTAGAATGTATAAGTCCCTTTCCATATTCTTTCAGCTTATTGAGAGATTTGTTCCTGTAACTTAAGACTTTTATTCTTTGTTCAGATTAAAAAAATTGAGAGGGCTAGTAATGTTTTATTGGTCATTGAAATCTCAATGATAGAAACTCATAAGATCTGTCCTAAAAACTGATTCTTACAAAGAAAAATTGCATCAGAAGACGCTATAAGGACACTATCACACTATCCATCAAAATTTAAAATGCAGTCATGGTTTGACTGTTTAATCCCTCTTTGTGGAATAATCCTTGCCCTACCCCATCCCTCCATGTGTACAAATAATATATATACAAGGTTGTTTATTGCACTATTGGTGATAAAAATCAAATGAGGAACATCTCAAGCATTCATACAGGAAAGTGATTAACTCTGGCGTAGCCTCATAATTAAATACTACATAGCCATTTTTTAAAAATAAAGAGGCAGCTCTTTACATCTTGAGAAGGAAATGTTTCCAACTTATATTGTTAAGGGGGAAAAAGCAAGATGTATAACAACATATACAGAATGCTCTCTTTTTTATAGGAAAGGGGAAAAATAAAAAAAATACTTTTTTCATAAAACATTGGCAGGGTACTAGAGAAATTTTTAAGAGTAGTCATGAAGTTACGCAAAAGAAACAAGGGGGCAGATATGGAGGACTAGTATGTCACGGTAGTGTTTGGATTTTTCATTGTGACTGTATTATCTTTTTTTAAAAAAGATAACAATGACAGCATGATTAAAATTAAAAAAGGAGGGACTGGGGTTGTGGCTCAGTGGTAGAGTGCTTGCCTAGCATGTGGGAGGCACTGGGTTCTATCTCCAGCATCACATAAAATTAAACAAATCATGTCCATCTATAATTAAAAATATTTTAATTTTTTTTTTAATTAACAAAGGAGACAGTTTATCTCAAGTGAAGAGGCTGGCAGCTTTAAACACAAAATTTGCCTTGTCACTCTGTAGAAGGCTGGCTGTGAAGGGCTTCATTCACTGTAGAACTTCAGTCATTCATGCAGAGGACTAACAGCATAAAGGAATTTTTTTGACATTCTGACAAATGGTACTCATTCACATTTTACCTGTATATATTTTCCTGTAGATGCCAGAGGAGCAAGCTTTCTGTGTTTTGGTGAAAATCATGTATGACTATAATTTGCGAGACCTCTACAAAAACAACTTTGAAGACCTTCATTGCAAATTCTATCAGTTGGAAAGACTAATGCAGGTAAATAAAAATTAGGAACCTTTATCATTCAGATTTGTTATCAAAAAAGCTTAACGGTGTTGATGAGCAATGATCAGTTCTAAGAGTTTAGTGAAAACACTACTGAAAATGTAAATAGATTTGGTTTCTGACCAATATTTACATTGATCTTAATATCACAATGTATGTATTTAGCTACTTGACTATTTATAGTTTCATGTTTTAAATATTCAATTTTAATACACTTTGAAGTGAGACTATAGTGAGTTAATCCAGTGAGAAGAATGATGAATATTATTTGTAGAGAAATGAATATATTTGCCAATTAAAAAATTCAAACATATAAGATCTTTCTCCATACTAATTAGTACTACTACCATATTTGGATCTACAGAGGACACTTGGAAAAGACAGAAAGAAGTTGGTAAGAGAATAAAAAGCATCCGGAATACCATACTGTATGAACATAGTTTAATTTTCTTCCATATAATTTTTGTATCCCAAACATTGTTGTTGATGAGCCTCATAATATTTTTTATAAATGTATTTGTGTGAGAAACATTCTTTTATGTATATTAGATATTATAGAACAAAATGGTAAGCAGGGCAAAATTACTGACTAGAGTTGATAAATAGAGTTATTAGGTAGTTTTGAAATTCTGCTCGCAATTGGAAATCTTAAATTTTTAATGGATCTATTCAGCATATTTGTATGACTTTCTAAAGGAGGTGTTGGGAGCCCAGAAAAATGTGAAGGAATAAATGAATGGATTGATGAGTATGTGAGATAGTTGAGGAAGAAGAGTAGTAGTGGAATGTGAGAATAGAAGATGCTGGTAGATGTTCATTGTCATGACCTATCAGGAAATCCCCTGGTGTCTAAAAAGGACGATGAAGCCAGCTGGAGACTGAAAGTCTGGAAGATCGGGGGAGTAAGAGACTGAGAGTTTACAGGGAAGTAGGGAGCAACTTTATTGGGAAGAGTCAAAGACCTTACATATGAAGAAGCAATGGAGAGAAAACCTATCAAATGAGCCATAAGACCAATGGTGGATGAGTGTGGAGGGGGAACGATTCTGGTATCTAGTAACAATGGGCATTATAAAGAAATAGGTTCTTTTTTAAAGATTCAATTTTACCAAGTAAATATTGGAGTTACTTACTATTTACCTTTGTTTCACAGAAGTTTCTATTTTTCAAAGGTTAGTATTACTGAGGGCTTTGAAAATAACATGAATATATATATAGTACTTGAAGAGCAAGTTTGTGATAGTATGAAGAAACTCAGCCTCTTTTATCTATTAGCACTTTTTACTTGTTAACTCTTGATGACCAATTGGAACCTTGGCATATTTGTTTTTCAGAGAGCATGTTATATAAAAATGCTTTATTTTGTTGTTGTGATCTCTTTATGAAAACAAAATGAACATGAATTTGTACATCCTTGCCTGTATTTTGGTTATTAAAATAGCTGATACTTTGTACTTGGTGTTTCATGATTTTGAAAAGCATTTGCTTGTTTAACTTGGGAAGAAATTAAAGCTAGCATAAAGGCATGTTTGGGAGATATTCAGCTTTATGTGTTACACTTTGCACAATTTCACTTTGCCATTTTTGATATTAAAGATAAGTTTTTACTATGTGGTTATGCTTTTGAACTTCCCAAGTGTTGGAAAATACATAGAAATGACATTATAGACCTTAGATGATGTTGATATTAGATGGTATCCAAAGAGACGTGTTTCTTTTCTGACCAGCTAAGAGGTGCACCTTGAATGGGGATGTTGTGATGTGACCCTGTGTTAAGATATTCTTAAGACTGTAGGTGTTTTGTCAGACCCAGCATTTCCCCAAAAATAAGAACACTCAACTGAGCAAGAGATGATCAGCTTTTTGTTTATAACAAGTCAATTATCTGTCATATGATCAATTCTGTTATCACTTCTATGTAGTTACTTAAAATGCAACCAATGCTGGAATACAATGAAATTGACCACAGAAATCTTGCTATAAACTGCACATGTGGCAGGAAGTAAAGCTTCTTCAGTGTTTCGCCTCCTAAGTTTTTCATTTTGACTTTTAGGAACAGCTCCCAGACCTGCACAGCCATTTTTGTGATCTGAACCTGGAGGCTCATATGTATGCATCCCAGTGGTTCCTCACTCTCTTTACTGCCAAGTTTCCGCTCTGTATGGTGTTCCACATCATTGACCTGCTGCTCTGTGAGGTAGGCTGAGCCCAGCTTTCATTCCCAAGCCAAAATAGAAACCTGTTTCTATTTAAAATGGTTACAGTATGATATAAATCCATATCCTATGACAAAAAAAAGCTCTATTGAAATATTTAGTAAAGATTTTTCTGTAATTTTATCATTTGTGCAGAATAAAAATAGTAAGGCATATACAATTCCACAAAGGAAGGTGAGGTGGTTAAATTTTATAACATTAAATACATAATAAACCTATATCTGTGTAATAGTGTATTATCAACATAACAGACTTAAAGTTAAATGAATTTTAAATCAGGTGTTTTAATATCAATGCAATTCTAATAGTAAATATAAGTGATATTTTTGCAGTAATTAATTCCTCTATTCATAAGATATATCTGTGTATGTGTTTGAGGCTCCTGCCAGATGATGAGAAAAGTTTTAGGTCATATAATTATGTCTTTATTTTATTTTTTGAAGTGTCGGGGATTAAACCCAGGGCCTTGTGCTTGTTAAGCACTTGTTCTATCACTAAGCTGTACCCTCGGCCCAGTTATACTTTTAAGCAGTAGAATAGTTCAGAACACAGTTTGCAAAATTACTTAGGTATTTGTTCGTTTATTTTATTATTTTTAGTTCCTTAGGTGGATATGATTATTTATTTATTTATTTTTTGTGGATGGTGCTGAGGTACTCTCTCCACCACTGAGCCCTCCAGCCCCACTTTACTCTTAAGAAATAAGTATTACACATTTTATATTTACCATCAAATGTTTGACAATTAGCATTATAGGCAAGTTACTGAGTGAGAAGTATGTGTTTCGTTTTTTATTTTTTAAAAAATCGAACTTTCAAACCAATGTTAGCTATTTACCTTCACAGAAACTTTTGGCCAATGTACACATTGACATACATTTCATTCAGTCTAAAATATTTATATTAAGCTACTTATGTTCACAACTCAAAAGAATCACCCATTTTGTGTAGCTATGTTTTTAAAATTCAGAAGTTCAATCAACATGTATAGTGTGTAATACATAAACACTTCATTGTCTAGAAATCATGTAAACTAAATAATTACTCTTCATTTTATAATTAAATGAACCTGCCTGGTAAGAATATTACTAGTCAAATTCAAATCAAGTCCTCTAGCTTTATATATATATATATATATGCGAGCACTCCACCTCTGAGCCACACACAACCCCAGCCCAGTCTTCAAGGTCTTTGTTTAGCACTTGCGTAGTACCTGCAAGTTGTTGAGCACGTTGTAAGCATGTAAGATTTTGACTCATTTGTAGCATCTTTGATAAACAAGAGAGTCCTGATGGGCTCTCAGAAGAGGTTCTTGAATCATAAATATGTAACAGCTAGGGAAGCTGATTGGTAACACATTAATTTCCCTATTCATTTTACTTACAAATTAGTATGTAAAATGCCATTCTAAATTTAACCTAAAGGAAGAATGCAGAATTGAAGCTAAAACCTATTCAGAGTCAACATGGTATCATCACAATTTACATGAAGCAAATTTAAGCATTTGTACTAAAAATGCTATTTGGCCTGTTTGTCCCAATTGGTGTGGTGATTAGTTCTGACTCACAAACTTTAGGGCAATATGCTTTAAAGGCAAAAACCATGTTTTTGGGTATTGTGAAAACTAATACTAAAAATTAGTCTTGATAAATAAGTCCTCGTGGACATTATTATATTTAGTTAAGGTTAGTATTCATGATGTTTTGTAAAAACAAGAAATTAGGAAGTATGGCATTGTAATAGTTTCTGCATTCTATATAGTATGAGCTTGCAAATATTTGTTATCATTGATTCATTTTTTTTCTGAGTTTATCTAATTTCATACTAGATTAGTTCTATGGTATTCATTATAGAAAAGGAAATGAAATTAATGTTCTTAATCATTCAGCTAAATTGGATTTTCCGATCACTTTTTGGTAGAGTGGTAATGCTGTGGTCTAGTTCACTGGAATGGTGACTTACTAAAGTTGTCTCTGCCTGGCACCTGTTCATGGTTCTTCTAGAACCTAGATTCAGAATTGCTCAGGGAATTTCATCTTGAAGGTACTTAAATTTCTAATTTCAGTTGCTAAGAAAATTAACAGAAAAGCAAACTAAATTCATAAGCCTTCCCATCACTTGTCAACTGTGATTCACAATCACAGTGGGAGAAGGATTTTAATGTTCATTAAAATTAATAAAAGCATCATAACTATTATTTTCCTTCCCCTTTAACCTGTTCTCTGTAGTAGTTAAGGAAGTTGCATAGCTTTCCAAAACATGGGGGTGGGTTTGTAATAACACCATCGTAATATCCAGGGAAATAACTGAGTGAAGTCAGTTTTCAAAATAAATTTTATTGGGAACAATGTTTTAGTATGCTCCAGGATGTTCGTTCTTTCCACTAACTTGTCTTTGTCAAGGGTTATTTTGCAAAGGAAATTTTGAATAAACTTTTACTTCCTGCCTGTGTTTTTTCTTTGCCCCTTTCCTTCTTTTAGTTAATAAAATATTTATATCACAAGCTATTCTTTCATATGTGATAGAATATTCTAAGAAATGGTAACATAGTCATAAATAGATTGTCCTTTAGATGTTTGTTTTGTCATATTTTCTCTCTTTAAGAAAACAACCAAATTTTGATGGTTTGAATCAATATTTAATTGCAAATGGAATGTTTTGAAATTCTCAAATGGAAAGGTGTTGATTTTTCAAAGTTTATCATTTTGACAAAAATTATTGTTCTGCAAAGCCTTTTACCCAAGGATTCTACTTAAAGTAAAAAGGAAAGACCTTGCCTTGGAGAATTCATTTCCAGAAGGTCTATTGTCATTGCGTGCTTTCCTACCTGCCTTATGTCCTTTTAAAGAGTTCTGTCATCCCCAGATTGAAAATATGAAGCTAATTTAGCAAGAAGGGAATAATTTTATAGATACTGACAATGCAGTCTCACTAAAAAAACAACAACAACAAAAAAAAACAACAGCAACAACAACAACAAAAGCCCTCCTAGTTGTTAATAGCTTTACCTAAAATGTTTACTTAAACTGGAATATATTGCAACTAGGGCTAATTCCTAAGTTTGGTGGAAGAAGGATCACAAAAGAATTTGAAACTAGAGTTCAAAAATACATTCTCTTATATTAAGATAAATAGAACTCTCTGTAGATTGTCTTTTAGCCAGTAATTGAAATGAAAATAATTTTTTAAAAGTCTGTTTTATTGTCTGCCTCTATTTGGAGAGATAAGAAAAAAGCTAAATGTGTTAACATTTAAAGTGTAAATGTTGTGATGTTAAACTATCAAGAATAAAAACACTGAACTTTTAAAAATAATTTATTGAAATATAACAGAATAAAAAAGTATATATAAAAATAGTATAAAACTTGAGAGTTTTTCACAAAAATGTACATATTAAGGTAACCAGCAGCACCCACGTCAAAAAAGTAGGATGTCATCTCATGTCAGAAGCCCGCCTTCACTACCCCTTTTTAGTAACTACCTCTCTGAAGAAAGATCACTATTCTGACTTTTAACACCATAGATCAGTTTTGCTTGTTGTTAAACTTTATGTACATGCAGTTTTGGAATATGTATGTTTTTCTGTTTTATTCCTCATGTTTGTGAGATTTATCCTTATTGTTGCATCTTCCCTTGGTTTATTTGTTCCATTGTGTGACTATTCTACAGTTTATCCATTCTTCCATTCTCTTCTTGACAGACATTTGAATCGTTTCCAGATTAAGGCTGCTACCAACATTCTTGAACTTACTTTTGGTGAACATAGATGTGTATTTTTGTGGGTACCTGAGAGTGGAATTGCTGGATTGGGATGTGCACATGTTCAGCTTGAGGAGATAGAGCAAACAACTCTACAAAATAACAAGACTATTTCTTTTTAAAAAAAGTGTTTTGTTTTTTTCTTTTCTTAATGCAGTAAAGGTCTTTCTTTCTTGTGGTCAAAGACAGGCTTTGTTTTGTTTTTAGAAGTAGATACTAGGTCAGACTATAGTTCATGAATATACAACAGAATGAAACTCATTTGGTGATAAAAGTGATTCACTTGATGTCTGAAGCTGCATACAGAAGAGCTGGCCAAGAGCTGGATCACTTTGTGTTTACCCTGATGGGGAAAATCTATCACAGTGTTCAGTTTTAGAAGAAGCAGTATGGAAACAGGTATAACAAGGGAATTAAGATATTGGCCTTTTTAAGTCAAGTCTTCTTGGATCATCATTTTGAAGTTACTTGTTGTATATGTAAGTTTCAGTGTCTTTATTTGTAAAATGAACTAGCAATACCTATCTTTCATGTTTTGTGTAAGAACTGAGACTGTGATATAAAATGCTTGGCACTATGCCTAAATATCAATTAATAAGAATGTCTTTCTGAATGATGTTTATCTGTATAGCCCTTCTAGTTACTTCTCACTTTTTTTCTGACTGGCTTTCTATTCACCTCTTCCCCTCTAGTTGAGATACTTCTTTGTTGAAAGCAAAATTTTAGCCAGTGACCTTAATGGAAGTTTTATTCTTTCTCAGCAGTGATTCAAATAATTCTCTAAAAAAATTTTTTTCCCCTTCCCCTTCACCTTCTTACAAAACACATGAGGAAAACTCCAGTATTTCTCTGAGTCTTGACAGGATAACTGACAGCTGGTGTTTGAAGTTGACTCTTCCCAGATAGTTCAATTTTTAGACTACCAAATATATTCAGCTTTATATAGTAACTTGGCATTTCATGAAATTGACCCTTTAAATTATAGTGTATCTCCCTGCGTTTCCTTTTTTAGGATGATGGGGGAAAAAAGACATTTCTACATTATTTGATTAAATACCACCAGGTATATTTCCCCTTTCAAGGCAGTTTTCTGAACTTATCTGAAGAGTTGATTCATTATATAATATTCTCCCTTTATACCACCAATTTTCCCTAAAACTTCATCAGAATGAGCTGATATAAGGAAGATTAAAACCTCTCACAGACATACATGTTTCTGAAAA